CTGAACGAAAGAACTGTCACCTTCTCGAAGTAGATCGTGGCTTATTAATTCATATGAATTTGCCAAAACGTTTTTGGATGGATGTAGTTTTGTGTGCTACATACATCATCAACCGTATGCCATCTCGGTTACTAGAGTATAAGGCCCCACATCAGCTTCTATTCCTACAGCTCCGTTGTCCACCATTCCGATGCGTGTTTTTGGGTGTCGTTGCTTTGTCCATAACTTGTCCCCTACTCGAGGTAAGCTTGATCCTCGGGCTATTCCTTGTGTTTTCCTTGGTTACCCTTTATCTCAAAAGGGGTACCGTTGCTATGATCCTACCTCTCTCAAGTACTATGTCTCCATCGATATATCCTTCTTTGAGAATCAACCTTTCTTCTCGGTTTCTCCTCAGGGGGAGAGTAGGGTTGAGGAGAAACAGGCGGCTCAAACTCAACTACATCCACTACCCGATCTTCCTCCATTCCGTGTCTTTTATCGCTGCATAAAAGCCAACAGATTTCAAGAGCCATGGAACCTAACACTATGCAACCAACATCATCGGATTCACCAAAGGCAGATCCTTCTCATCAGCCAAGTACACTTGCTCCTATTGATATACCTGTTCCTCTCAATGTTGATTCCCCTGTCATTAATGATCTTAATGTTCCTATTGCTAAGAGAAAGGGTGTTAGATCTTGCACCTCTAATCATCCTATTTTTAATTCTGTGTCCTATGATCACATTTCACCTTCATTTCGTGCATTCCTCTCTTTTGTGGATAATGTCCCCGTTCCTAAGAATGTGGCAGAAGCTTTATCCAAACCTGAATGCACAGATGCAATGCAAGAAGAAATTGATGGATTACACAAAAATGACACTTTGGAGTTGGTGAATCTTCCTGAAGGGAAGAAACCAACGGGTTGCAAGTGGGTGTTCATAGTGAAACACAAGGCTGATGGAACTGTTGAAAGGTACAAGGCTAGACTGGTAGCAAGAGGTTTTACACAGGTATATGGAGTGGACTATGCAGAGACTTTTGCTCCAATAGCCAAGATGAACTCTATTAGGATTCTTCTTTCATTGGCAGCAAATCTTGACTGGGAACTTCACCAATTGGACATCAAAAATACTTTCTTGAATGGTGACTTGGAAGAGAAAGTGTATATGACCCAACCTCTAGGTTTTTGTGCCAAAGGCAGTGAACATAAAGTGTGCAGGTTAAAAAAAATCTTTATATGGGTAAAAACAATCACCTCGGGCCTGGTTTAGTAAATTCCACTTAGCAATTCAATAGATGGGGTTCAAACAATGCTAATCAGATCACACTCTATTTGTGAAAAAAGGTGAAGGGAAAATTGCAACTCTAATTGTATATGTGGATGACATAGTGATCACAGGAGATTGAGAAGTTGAAATACAGAGATAAAAAAAATTCTTAGCCACTCAATTTGAGATGAAAGATCTAAGCCCCTTACGTTATTTCCTTGGAATTGAAGTTGCCCGCTCTCACAAGGGCATCTTTATTTCTCAACGGAAATATGTACTAGATCTACTAGAAGATACAGGCAATTTTGGGGTAAAACCAATTGACTCACCAATTGAATCTAATCATCAGCTGGGAGACAGTCAGGGAGAATTTTTGAAAGATGTGAAAAAGTTCCAGGGACTTGTAAGGAGACTCTTGTATTTGTCTATGACCAGGCCTGATATTGCTTATGCAGTGGGTGTCCTTAATCAGTTCATGCACAATCCTAGGACAACTCACTTTGAAGCTACAGAAAGGATCCTTAGATACCTCAAGTAGTTTCCTGGAGCTGGTTTGTTGTTCCAAAAACATGGACACTTAAAGGTGGAAGTATATACTGATACCGATTGGGCAGGGGCAGTTGATAACCAAAAGTCTACCAGTGGGTATTGTACCTTTGTAGGAGGAAACCAGGTCACGCGAAGAAGTAAAAAACAAAGTGTAGTGGCTAGATCTAATGCTGAAGCAGAATATAAAACGATGTCTCATGGGGTTGCTGAAATCATGTGGATAAGAAATCTATTAGGTGAACTGGGTTTTACAGTGAACAACCCTATGTCACTCTACTATGACAATAAAGCTGCCATCAATATTGTTGCTAATCCAGTCCTACATGATAAGACGAAACACATTGAAGTGGACAAGCATTTTATTAGAGAGAAACTTGTAAATGAAGAAGTGTGTACTCCATATGTCAGCTCAGAAGAACAACTTGCAGATATCTTCACCAAAGGTCTTCATCATGTGCGGCACAATGATTTGTATGACAAGTTGGGCATGATTGACATCTATGCTCCAACTTGAGGGGGAGTGTTGAAATAATTTAGTTATTTATGTTAGGGTCTGTTTGGCTAGTTAAAACCTTTTTTTTATTTTCTGTTATTGTACTTCACTTACAACAGGGGCACAAGTGTCTTTTCCCTTCTTATTTCTGTCACCCTTTATAATATAATAGAAGCTGGCGCCGCCAGTACTGTTCCATTGCTCCAAACCTTTTCTTCTTCCTTTCTTCCTTCTTCTCTTCTCTCTTCTTCCCTTCTCTTCTCTTCTTCTTCATTTTTCAATCGGATTTATGGCCAAGAGTCCTCAAAAGCATCCATGGTATTTTGGTTTTCTGTTGTCGGAATGATGGAGAACCCTGTCTCCACTGAGAAAACAAGGTGACAAATTTTCGATAATGTAAAAATTCAATCATTCCCCATGGGCAAATATATTTATCTACAGAAGAAGATAAATATTTTCCATGCATACAAGTATTGACATAGTACGTAGACACATTCGAAGAAAAGGCACAGCTATCTCGAGTGCTTGGGCAACTTAGTCAATAATAAGCAAATCAAAAAAAGGGCTGCCAGGCTTTTGAAAAAAATGCATTGGTTGAAGTAATCATTGTTCACAATTTCCTCTAAACACAGTAAAAAGTCCCTATTTCCTATGGGGCAAAACAAAAGCATTATGGAATATAAAAAATCCAAAATTTCTCTCAATAGTTCCCTAGTGTTTAAAAAACTGGTAAATCAATGAAATTTTCAGTTTGTCATGTGAAAATATTTCCAAATTCTGACAAAATATCAGGGAAAGCTCACCAGTTTTCCAAAAGGCCCAAAACCAATTGGAAATAATCATGAGACATAGAAAATTCTCAAATTTTTGCATAAAATTAAGAGAAAAGGCATTTGGCTTTATTGATTTCACTATTGAATCAACAACTTTACTTAGGTTTTCAGACTGTAAAGATATATCTAAAATTTTTAATTAAATAATTAATTAAAAAACTAGTCAACTCTTTATAATAATCACAAACTAATATAAATTATAGTAATACTTGTTTTATCTTAATTCAAGAAGTAAATAAAGTTGCAAAAACAATAAAGAATGGAAAAATAAAATGTAAGAGTCAGGATATAGTAGAGAAAATGTAGAAGAGCAAAGAGAAAGATTGGTGAAAGATTATCATATCTGGGCAGTTGCCCTTTCATTCATATATTTATAGTTAGTCATTGCAAAATAGAAAATGATAAGTTTGCCCTGGCCTCCAGCCCTCAATAGTAATATACTAATATTTGATAAGGTGTCAGAATTTATGACAGTAATAAAACACTATTCTTCTGAACTGCAAATATTCCGAAAGAATTAAATTCCCAATTTCAGCTTAAATATGGTTATGAAAATATTTATTGCATTAGTTACACTTAATCAAAGAAGCAAGATGCAAAATATACATGTGAAAGTTTCCATGGTTAAGTAAATTATAAGCCAAATGTGCTCCCATTAAAATAACAATACGAGTATTTAGCACAATTTAGACTTGAGAAATTAAAACGTTGCACACCTCTAATGGTTTTGAAAATGGACAAGAAGTCCTTTTAAACAAATTCAAGAACCATCCAGGACTTCTAAGCAATTGAATGTGACAGAATAATTTAAACTGGATTTATGAATAATGAAATGATGGTACAGCTACAACATGATACAAAAAAAATTAAAAGAGAAAGAAACCAAGCTGCAATTTTTTCCTTTTCCTATTTCAGGTTCAGTGAATTATCAAAGGTAATGCCAAATGCACCTTTGTCTACATTGAATCAACATATTTTACATCTCTTCTAGCTTTGGTTTCTACATGCCATCAAAACCAAGGCTATCTCATTAACAAAGGATTGGATGACAATGGGTGGTAGGTACATAATCTTAGTAAAGATTGATGGTAAACAGATAGAGATGGTGGCAGCTCGCCTAGCTCAATAAACCAACATTAGAAAATATTTACATCATGTGTGGGCCCCTTTTTTGCTTCAACAAGGCATCGCAGAGCCTTGCAGCATCCAAGTTATCCCTAACATTATGTACTCTTATAATGTTTGCACCAGCCAAAATCCCAGCAGTGACAGCAGCAACAGTTGCAGGGTCTCTCTCAGAGGCATCTGGGCGATTGCAAATCTCACCTAAAAACCTCTTTCTGGAAGGTCCAATTAAGATAGGAGCATGAGAAACGGCCAAACTCTTCATCGCAATCTCTCCTCGAATGGTTGGTAGACCCATGAGAATTTCCAAATTGTGTTCAGTTTTCTTTGAGAATCCAATTCCAGGGTCAATAATAATCCTCCAAGCTGGCACACCTGACAACTCTGCTTCTCTAGCCTGCATATATAACTCAGAAGCAACCTGCTTACATAGGTCTTCGTAATGTAGATTTTCACTATTCTGCATGGTACATGGATCCCCTCTCATATGCATTACAACATAAGGAACCCCAAGAATTGCAGCAACGTTAAGCATGCTGGAGTCTAACTTCCCACCAGATACATCATTGATAATATGAGCACCTTTGCTGATTGCTTCAGATGCAACTTTTGAATAAAAAGTATCCACAGATAATAACTTCCCTTCTATCTCTGGTATTTCCAGAACAGCTTCTAGGACAGGTACTAATCTATCTAGTTCTTCTTCTACTGAAATCCTAGAAGCAAATGGACGTGTGGATTGGGCACCAATATCAATAATATCTGCCCCTTCTGAGATCATCAAGCGAACCTGAGAAACTGCTGTCTCTACAGACTGAAACTTTCCTCCATCACTGAAACTATCCGGAGTCAGGTTGAGAACACCCATGACATGGGTTTTCTTTGACCAGTCCCACAACTGATTTCCAATAGGTAAAACCCGCCTCAGTCCTTCCTTTCCAATGAGGGAGTCACCACCAAGTTTCTTCCATAATTCAAAAAGCCCTCCAGTTTGTTTTGAAAAAGAATGCCAGCTCGCAACCATATCACTATCTATGGCAGAACCCAGTAGATCTATTAGTGGGGCCACTACAAAGGGTCTTTCCCAAATTCTTTCATGTGGAACATTAAGAACCTCAGAAATGATATTGAACTTCCCATAGAACAACATATCTAAGTCAATTGGTCTTGGGCCATACCTTATTCCATCAACTCGACCCATATCTTTCTCAATTTTCTTAAGCACACTCAACAGCTCATGGGGCCCCAGTTTTGTTATGCCTCTAACTGCAGAATTGAGAAAGAGGGGCTGATCGGTCACATATGCAGGCTCTGTTTCATATAAACACCCATGTCTTGTGATCTGAATCCCTGACATCTTCATCAACCGTATAGCTTCATTAAAATTATGAAGTCTATCACCCACATTGCTTCCCAAGGCGATTACTACTTCTTCCTCTGGAGTATGGACTTCCACTGCAGCATCTGAGGAGAAATGGAGAAAAGGAGATATTGCTGCAAAGGAGGAAATAAAGATGTTAGCAGAATAGCTTGGAGATCTCTTTTTCTGCTTTCTAATATTGTTTTATTTCAATATTTCTACAAATTGTCAATGGTCTTCTGCATCTTACGTTATCATGCAGTAAAATCCATAGACAAAGCATTGGAGAAAAAACTCCATTTCACATGCCTCACCATTGATGGGTCCCATCTGCAGATATCCTATACCAAAATCTGCAACCTTCAGATGATTCATGACTGTACCATCTATTAATATGGAACCCAGCAACTGGTGTGTCCTGTACATCTGAATGATTGCTTCATAAGTGATTTGCAATCAGTAAAATGGCCCCTTGCAATCAAGTAGACTTGCTGCCAAAAATTCTACATTATATCCTCAGTGTTAATAAAATGATATATAGATGACAACTTTCCAGGGTCTAGGTGTCTAATACATCACACTTTACATTAAGAAACACCAAATCATTAAAATAGAATGAAGATTACCCATACAACACTTGGTGATTCCTTTAAACCCATGTTTAATGGGATTTATTTGCTTGAAAACATGCATGCTGCTAGTGGTTCTCTATGTCCTGAAACAAAAGTAATAGTTGTTTAAGATTCAAAATTTACTCAGTGCTGCTACTTGCGCTTTGGAAATAATGCATTTAACTCAAACCTTATAAAATTGTTCTGATATGATTATAACAACTATTAAAAATTATGTAATACCCAGCGTGAGGATGCAAAGAACAAAGGGCTTACACCTTTATTCACAGACACAGATGGGTTCCTTAAAAACTGCACCACTTTCCAGAAAATCAGAGATAATAGCAACATATTTAAGCAAAACATGGAGACTTTGGGTGTTTTAGATTCTATTAGTAAGATGAGTGTGAGCATTGGAAGATGACTCACATGGGCTGGAAATGGAGTCACCACCCATCATTTGAAAGAATTTGAGGTGATGGGACCTCCGAGAATGATTTTTAAAAACATTTTGGTCCGATAGTGACTCCAAAGCCCAAGGCACCGGCTACACCAGTCCGGGTAAGACTCATATGGGAGAGGGAAGGGGTTAGGCACCCCTCTCCCGGGTCCAATAGGTGGGACCCACATGGAGTTCCAAAGAAAACAAATTAAAAGTGTCTCCCTCAACAAAACCGAAGTAAATGTAGAGAGATAAAACCACTTGAGAAATACGAGTTTCTAATGGTACCCAAAGAGAGATTGTTCACTATAAAATAAAATAAAATTCAAGTCCAACCTTAAAGAAATTCCTTTGAACTTAAAGAAATTCCTCTCCTAAATAATAACTTCACTTGGTCCAACCTTCAATCTAGGCCATTTTGCTCTAAGTTGGACAGATTTTTGTTCTCAACAGATTGGGAGGAACATTGGGGTAATCTAACTTCTAGAGCTCTTCCAAGACTTACTTCAGACCACTGGCCTATAGTGTTGGTTAAGGAAGAAATGAGAGGAGATGGTCCTACCCTATTCAGGTTTGAAAATATGTGGTTGGCTCATCGGGGTTTTATTAAGACAGTCATAGAGTGGTGGGAGCAAGCTAATCCGGCAGTTGAATGGAAGGGAATGAGGTTCCACAAGAAACTCCAATACTTAAAATCACAATTAAAGGAGTGGAATAGGCTAGAGTTTGGAAGAATAGAAGAGAGAAAACAAGTGTTGATGGAGCAGATTGAGGATTTGGACATGATGGAAGAGAGAGGCTCCTTTGGAGAGGAAGAAAGGAAGTTGAGATGGGTGTTGAGGAGGCAGATGGAGGACATCCTGATTAAGGAGGAAATCAGCTGGAGACAGAAATCCAGGTGTAAGTGGCTCAAGGAGGGAGACAGAAACACTAGGTTCTTCCATTCAGTGGCAAATGGGAGGAGAAAGAAGAATTTCATCTCTAGTTTGGAAGTTGAAGGAGAAGTGTTGTCCCACCAAGTAGAAATTGCAGAGGCTCTAGTTAACCACTTCAAATCTATTTTTAGAAGACCTCTGAACGGAAGAGTGTGGTTGGAGGGATTGGATTGGCCGACTCTAAGTGCAGAGAAGAGAGAATGGTTAGAAAGGACTTTTGATCTGGAGGAGATAAAGGAAGCAGTATTCTCAATGGATAGGACAAAAACTCCGAGTCCAGATGGCTTCGCAATGGCCTTTTACCAGGATTGTTGGGATATACTAGAGAATGATCTTAGATCAGTTTTTGAGGAGTTCCATAGAAGGGGAATAATAAATCCGGTTCTGAACTCAACTTTCATTGCTTTGGTCCCAAAGAAGAAGGAGGCTTCTCAACCAAAGGATTTTAGACCTATCAGTTTGGTTACTAGCTTGTACAAAATTATTGCTAAAGTGTTGTCTCTTAGGATGAAGAAGGTGCTTCCCTCTATTAATGCACCCAACCAAGGTGCCTTTGTGGAAGGAAAACAGATCACCGATCAGATTCTCATTGCAAATGAGAGCTTTGAGAGCTTTAGGAAGTCAAAGAAGAAGGGTGTGGTCTGTAAATTGGACTTGGAGAAGGCTTATAACTTGGTTGATTAGTCTTTCTTGTTGGAGGTTTTGAGGAGCTTTGGTTTTGGAGGTAGATGGTGTAAGTGGATTTGGGGTTGTGTCAGGACTTGTCACTATTCTATCCTAGTAAACGGCACTGTGGTTAACTTCTTTCCTACATTGAGAAGCCTAAGACAAGGAGATCCTCTTTCCCCTTTTCTTTTCACCCTGATTGCTGATGTTTTTGGGAGATTGATCCACAGAGCTGACTCGAGGAATCTGATAAGAGGGTGGAGAGTAGGAAGGGAGGAGGTTCTGTTAACACATCTACAGTTTGCAAATGACACAATTCTGTTTTGTGAAGGAGAAAACATTAATTGGATCCGGAATCTAAAGTTGGCAATACATCTCTTTGAACAGATTTCTAACCTCAAGGTGAACTTTGATAAGAGTTGTGTGGTGGGAGTGGTGGATGTAAGGGACCTAAGGGAATATGCAGGGGAGCTAGGATGTGCAATCTCGGACTGACCCTTGACATACTTGGGCCTCCCTTTAGGAGACAATCTTAAGAATGTAAGCTTCTGGAATCCGGTAGTGGAGAGGTTTGAGAAGAGGTTGGCAGCTTGGAAGAGAAATTATCTTTCTCTAGGTGGGAGAGCCACTCTTATTAGGTCTACCCTAGCTAACCTACCTGTCTACTATTTTTCAATGTTTAAGATACCCTCAAAAGTTTAGTTTTTTTGTGGGAGCCCGGAGAGGAGAAGAGAGATCATAGGGTGAGTTGGGATGTGGTTACTAGGTGTAAAAAACTAGGTCTTGGGATTGATAACTTCAAGAAAAGGAATATGGCTCTGCTAGGGAAATGGTTGTAGAGGTTTTCAGTGGAAAGGGATAAATTGTAGACTGAGATTGTGACTAGCATACATGGGATGGAAGACAATGGTTGGGATCCTGGAATCTTGGCAAGGGCCACAGCTGCTTCTCCTTGGAAATCCATTCACAATCTGCTTCCCGTCTTCTCCCCTTGGATAAGGTATGGTCTAAACTCTAGTAACCGAATAAAATTCTGGGAACAACTTTGGATTGGGGATTCTCCTCTGAAGGACCAGTTTCCTTCATTGTATGCTCTATCAGATTTGAAAAATGAACCTATTCCTCTTTTTTGGTTCCTTCAGACTCCACTTCTGGCTTTGGTGGAACCTAGGCCTACGTAGGGCAATTAGGGATACAGACTTTGATAGCTTGGTATCTTTGCTTGCCTCCTCCCTTGAGAATGTTTTCCTAAATCCTACTAACGAAGACACTAGATTTTGGACTCCTTCTAGCTCTGGTATTTTTCTTGTGCCTCGCTTTTTGAAACCCTAACTCAGCCTCCTGTCCCCTTTGGGTTGTCCTTTCCTGCTAAAGAAATTTGGAGCAGGCATATTCCTCCTCGGGTTGGCTTTTTTTGTTGGGAAATTTTCTTGGAAAGAATTAACACATTTGACTTACTTCAGAGAAAGAGACCCAACTATTGTCTGCTTCCTAATAGATGTGCTCTTTGTAAAGCCGATCGGGAATCCGACTACCACCTCTTGGTCTCTTGTAAGGTTGCTAAAACTGTTTGGGAGAGGGTTTTCTCCCACTTTGGGTGTTCTTAGATTCTTCCGGAGAGTGTCCAAAGGTTGTTCTCTCCTTCTTTCTTCAGATGGCCTAAGAAGCGAGGGAAGACTATGTGGAGGAGTATTAGGGCAGCAGTGTGCTGGTCATTGTGGGAAGAAAGAAATTCACGTAAAGAACCCCGGAAGAACTGTTAGACCTAATCCTTTTAAGGACTGCCCACTGGCTGAAATCTTTGGAGTTGCTCTCAGACTTTCCTGTGGACGACTTGCTAAGAAACTGGAAAGAGATTGCTTCCACTGCTAGATGCAAGAGGACTCTTTGTCCCTCTTGGTCCCCTCCCCCCCTCGGGTTTCATTAAGCTGAACTTTGACGGCAAAGGAATCCAGGACCCTCTAGGATTGGAAGTGTTTTCAGGAATGAGGAAGGGGTTGTTATTGCTCTATTTTCTGGCCCTATTGGAGAAGGTGACTCTCTTAGGGCTGAGATCTTTGCAGCGCTTGAAGGAATTCGAAGAGCAAAGGAGTTAAATGTCAGCCGATTGATCCTGATAGGTGATTCGAAGGTGGTGGTTAACTAGTTGAAGAAAGAGGACAGTGGTTTGTGGAACTTTAACAATGAAAAGAAGCAGTTCTTATGGATGTGTAGGGACATCAACATCCAATACAGCTGGGTGAAGAGGAGTGCCAACTCATTTGTGGATGGGTTGGCCAAGCAAGGAGTGAATACGGAATCTATTTTTTGGGCTAGTTTTTAATTTTTTCTCTATGTATTCTCTTTGTATTCTGTATTTGGGGAGCTAAGATAATTTATCTCCCCTCTTGTATACATTCTCCCTCTTTTCTCTTAATTTAATGAAGTTGGTGTTATTGAACAAAATAAAATAAAATAAAATTCAAGTACGGTGATGAGACATAACTACAGGTGTGATCACCAAGTGGCCTAAGATAGATAATAAAGCAAAACAAAACAAAGAAAATTCATGTAATAAAAACTAATGTCACTAAGTGAAGCTAAATCATTAGCATAGAAGAGTGAGCAAACCAAACAGACAAGGAAACTAAGTGACAGCCTAACACATCAGAAATGTCCAATTGTCTAACATATCAGAAATGTTCACTTTTCAAAACAACTCCTCGATACACTAAGGGATTCAAATCTTGATCTGAAGTCACAATTACCCCTTTTACATTAATGAAAAATAAGGCTACGTTTGTTTGAGGTATAAAAGCAAATTTACACCGAAGGAAAGAGCACCATCTGGTTTGATGAGAGTGTAATATGGGAGACAGTTGTTGTCCCCATTTACACTGATCACGTTTGGGGTTGGGGGATCAAGGTAAATTAAATGTTTCGCTTTTGCGGGTGTTTGGATAACACCCTATCGAGGTAAAACTCCACCCATAATAACAACACCCAAGTGATGGACGGGTCAATTGACACCTCTACCTTGGACGATTCAGCTGGGCAACCTGAATCATTGTCTTCCTTACTCACCAGAGAAACAACAGCACTCTTAGCTCTATTATAAACCAAAGATCAAATTCCAGCTAATTCAGTGGCATGGATGTTGAACCTCTGTATAACACCCACTGAATTAGCTGACAGGTTCCTCTGCAGTCATACAGTTTTGGGGTCTCCAAAACTGATACTCTATTTGTTTTTGTCCAACCTATGTCAGCTAATTCAGTGGTGTCATACAGAGGAACCTGTCACAATCCTACAAATCATAAACTTCTACCAATGTGACTATGATCCTAATTTATCAATTTCGTATATGCAAAAGTACTACACTAAAATAAAGTTTTTTTTACATATTTTACATTTCAAATGCAAATTCGTCCTCCACCATTGGTGAATCCCATGAGCACGTTTAAAATCTGATGATGGACTCTGGTTGATGGTCAAATTGGCTGATGGAAGAAGGTGCAGTGTCTCTGCTTCCTTCCCAATTACATGCATGAATAGGCCCCCAATAGAGTTTTGAGTGGTCAGTTTCTTAATGCTTCCAGCTTCAATCTCCTCCATCTTTTTTTCTATGCTCAAAGTACTGAACATACTCAAAACAGATGTCATCTGCAGGATTCACAAACAGATATGGGACCCATGTAGAACTGTAGACTTTTTCTTCTAAGATGTAATAGATCATTTATTTTCTTCAGATAGAATCATCTTCCAGAAGTTTGCACATGAAAGAATGTACTCAACCTTGGCATAGCATGATTAATGATTGACTATTAACCAATAAAAAGTAGGATTCTAATATAGCCTAAAAGCATTATAGCTATAATACAAAAAACGTTTCAATGAAACATGCTTCCATATACTTCATTTTCGATGTTCTGTAATGATTTATAGATATTATTTAATAAACTAAACTGGAAAGAGAAGAAACTGCTATGTTCTAGTAACTAGTTTAAGTATTACAGTATGCATTGAGTTAAACTGTAGAGAAAAAAAAAAGGAGAATTTAAGTAGCTTTTACACCAAATCAATCTGTACTATATCAGTTATATTTCATTTGCATTCTATTTTATTTTTTGTATTTGTTATTGAGTCCCTCATAGGGACTCATTTGACTTTTACATATTTAACATTAATAGTATCATTAATTCCTATTTTCATATTCACACCTATATCCTGCCTTGTCCAATATGTATACTAGGGATAAAATGAAGGTCAGATTATCATAGGTTCATCATCAGGACTAAAAAAAGGAAATCTTGACTATAATAAAAGATTTAGTCTCCTGATTAGTGGCAAGAATGCATGGACTGGAACACTGGAGACAGCAAATCCTTGTAGGAAATGGATAATGGATGAGATATGGTTGAAAAGTTGTAACAATGTTTTTTGATCTAGTTAAGCCAATGTCATATCTATAGAAGTCAATTTGGAAGTTGAAGGATGGAGAAGAAAATAAGTCCCTATCATGTAGCATGCATAGGAGATTAGGGATGAAGATTGGCTCTAGATGTATTAGTGAGTTTGAGGAGGAAGTATGGCATGATATCCTGCTCCCAAATACATGGTTAATGATGGTTGTATAAAGACTTGTAGCATGTAATAGCTCACCTCCTTATTTATCAAAAAATAAAAAAGAGACTTGCAGCATATATAGAAATACTATACAATTCATAATGGAGGAAAGAGAAGTGCCCACCTCTTAACTAAGTGGATTCCTATGCAAGAATTTGCATTCTGACCCTTGTAAGAAGATGAGTGATCATGTGAAAGTGTCTGATTAGGTGTTTCAAAGTCAAAGGAACATTTCAATGAAAGGAAGGGATTGACTAGAAAATCTGAGAAATTCAGTTTGTCCAATATAAACAGTTTGAAACTCAACAGCCTTCTCACTCAATAGGGTGTGGTCTTTTTAAGTTTGGGTTGTAATGTGGGGATATGCAGGTTGTTGCTCTGGCATTGATCAAATGGAGAAATAATCTCTAGATTGACTTAAAAATGCTCATAGGAGGCATGACCTCCCAACCCTTAGTTCGCATGTGTCAGGATGCACTAGTGCTTATTCCATGCTATCAGTCGTACAAAAGCTCCATGCTATCAGTCGTACAAAAGCACAGGAGGCACCTGGCACAAAGTAAAAGTTGTGGTGTAGCTTTCATAGTTTTAATATTCATTGATTCAGCTTGTGGATTGTCCGATCCAAATTGAGCCAGCCAAGGACCTGGCATGATTGGCTCCTAGAAAGCTTGACTTCAACCGGAAACGTGTCCCAATGGATTGCAAAATTGGCTGATTAAATAGGTAAATTAGTCCTTAAAAGCTCAGCTCAATGATTAAGGAAATTAAAAAAAAAAACATATATTACTCTTCAGTCTTCACTATGACAACATTTGGGATTGTTACTTTTCCTATTTCAGTGCCATTTTGCAAGAGCTATATGGATGGGGTTGCAGATTGGCATCAACACCAAAGATGTGAGTCAAAAAACTCAACCATGAAGTAGTTGATGAATGACAAGAACACAAATTGAAAGATTGGCCCAAAGTCCAAACATGAGGAGGATGTCATGATGCAGAGATTCACTATTGCAATAAGGCTGTTTTGGGACTCTTGGAACAAAGTGATTCATGAAAATAAACATCCAAATCCCAAAGTTCCCAATGCAGTGCACTTACCAAAAGTTCCAGGGTTCAGTGCTTAATTATGTCAATGGTCCTACACTTCTTGCTTGGTGTTAATACTTCTCCTATATATATATAACTTCTGGTCCAACTGTTTATGCAGATTAAAGATGGACCAAAAGCTCCTACTTATCTAACTAGAAATGGGTTTGCTTCCCTATTAGTGACCATTTATTAAGATATGTTTATTTTTCAAAATTCCACGCCAAGCTGAGGAGGATTTAGGCTTCTGGTTTGAAAAGCAATAGCCCATGAGAAGATACTTCTTCCCAACTCTAACCCACAAGACAAACTAGACCATAACAAAATCTAATTGTACCAACTAGCTAGACTAGGGTGGCCCAAACACCAAAGCACTATGACTTTGGGGAAAAGATCAGATTTAACAAATCAGGGTGGGGGGGACTTCACAGACGAAGTTACTCCCTTGTCTCCAACTCAGACCTTCTGTATGGAAGTGGGTGCCATAACAACCAGGCTAAAAGAGGACCATCATAAAGGCCTGAGATCAAACACCAAACACCAGAAACCAGAAACAAAGTGAGAGTAGGCTTTCATTATTTTAGCACAAGATGAATGGATTTCTTTTTTCTTTATTTCCCTCCTCTCACTCTACAACAGTATAGGATGTAATTAGCTTTCACAATTTCACAATGTGCTAGCTTGAGCACAAAACAAAAGATTATTTTACATCACTAAACATGACAATTCTTCTCCAATTCATCAACCATTCTCTCCAATTTCACAATTAGCTCTCCAATTTCACAAACATGACAATTAGCTCTCCAACCATTCTCTCCAATTCATCAACCTCTCTCTCTCTCTCTCTCTCTCGAGAACAAATCCAACTAACCCTTGCATCTTTTATGTACAATTGATCAACTGAAAGCTCATCCCAACAGCAAAGAGCAGTAATGGTCTGCTGAATCGATTGTATTTACTGCGTCCAAAGCCCAAAGAAATGAAAAAAAAATGATTGAAGTAATCTTAATGGGAATAAACTCTGTATGTGTGTTTGTGTATGTCAGTAGGAAATTAACAAGTCATTTTAGTAGATCAAGTTCAAGGCTAAGTCAAACCAATTAGCACCATAGACCTCAAACTCTTTGTTGGTCCTCCCTAACCTAGTTTAATTTGCTTCAAGAGTAAAATCTCTGTTCTATTCTTGATCCTATGCCATCTAAAATTAGTGGACTACTAAAATTATAAAAAAAAAAGGAACTTTGGGTTCATTAACTCGGGCTTGCTACCAGTTATGCAGAAATTAAAACAGGTTTGAGGTCAGTTTTGCTGCTTTGATTCAATACGATTTTAAAAATTCATATGAGAGAATTCACCTTATTCATCTTTTTCAGACCCTATTAAAACTTGAACAAGAAACTGGATGTTCTGTAGATATATGGGAAGACAAACATGTTTTATGCTTGGACTTTAGCTCACCAAAAGCTATAATTATAAAGTACATATCTAGATTCCAGGAAGCAACACTCTATCCTGTTCTGTAAATTGTTCAGATTAGAAACAAACTTCCAATCCTATCCTAGCTTAGTAAAACAAACAAGAAAATCATACAAAATTTAAAAATGAAAACCCATACATAGAACTTGGCAGTACACCAATTTCAGAAAAGAGGGTAAATCTGGCATTATACCTGTAACAAGGTGAAGCTGATCGGTAATACGGTTGGAAGTGGGATGAGAGCAGTAAACCAAGGTCGATATCTTTGCTAGCAATCTACAAGAGAAGAAATAATGCAAATAAAAAAACAGATGTATACAAGGAAATATCATCCACTCATCTCTTTGGAGTTCCAAATATCAAAGTGAGCTTTCTAGCTAGGGAATAAAATTTGATCAATCAAATGATCGAACTAAACTTTCTGGTATCTAAAATGAGAGATAGTGAAGACAAAACCAAATTTATGAATCCTTAGAAACAGGATGGTAACCTGGTTTTAAGCTTCTACCTATCATTTTGTAGATAATGGAAGAAAATGTGGGAAGATTAATGCCAATCCCAAGTCTAGGATAAAAACCTACCAAGTTTTGCTGTGGTGATTGAGTATCATTCAAATTCAGTAACCATATCATATTGACAGTCATAAATATGACAAAAATCAGAATAAAATCTGGTTTGTTGAATCTTAAAAAGTTTATATATTAACAGAGGAATAATGATAAAAAATAAGATGATTAACAGGTTGTTATGGTCATTTTGTTACCAGAAGAATAATGAACATTGAGCTAATGGAACAAACAGAGGAATAATGAAAAAAAAAAGACAGGGATAATTGAAAAAAAAAAAAATTAATGGAACAATCAAAGAGCTAATGGAGCAAGAGCTTGAATGCCGGTTACCCTTGCAGCGGTGAAGACAATAAGCTTAAACGTTGCAACAGTGAAACATCGAGCTTGAACAATGGGAGCTCTTGGCGGCTGAGAGGAGGTACAAGTACAGGCGAATTTAGCTTGGTGGAGATGAGAACTGGAAAAAATATAAAGCAACTGAAACCAAAAAATGTGAGAAAACACCATTATGAGATCAAAGGATGATGAGAAATGAAACCATGTAACTAGATCGGAAAAATGGTGCAGATCTGAGGCATCTGTTCCTCAGATTGGAAAAAATGGTGGAACAGTGATACCTATGTTGTTGCTGAGAGGAGGTGCGAGCAGTGAGTTGTCATTCCTCATATCCGCTCCTCAGATCGGTAAAAATGGTGGAAACACCCTAATTGACCATTGCAATGGCTAAGAGGAGGTGCGAGCAGTGAGTTGTCATTCCTCAGATCCGCTCCTCAGATCGGAAAAAATGGTGGAAATGCCCTAATCAACCGTTGCAGTGGCTGAGAGGAGGTGCAAGCATCACCTTTAAAACCAACAGAGAAGACGACGGAGTTTTACATCGACTTTATCGGTGGGAACTTTCCACCGATTTTTTATGTAAAATTCACCCTAAGCAGAGTTTTACGCCTATTTATGGTGTAAAAGAACGCCTAAAACAAACATGCACAAATTCGAACCGGGGGTAAGTGAAAGTCGTCAAACAACAACATACCTGATTCTTGTTACATGGCTAATCACGTTCAGCTAAGTCTAATAGTAATATAAGGAAAGAGGTAAACCATTACCCTTTATTGCACTAGAACCAAGAAAGAAGAAAAACAGCTTGACCTTCACTACATTGACCGAATAAAATGATTATTGGATGGGTATCGTATTCTAAGAGGAGATCAAAATTAAGCCATTAACCTTAACTATCTTTAGAGTTACCTGAGAAGATGCAAACTGAAGAATTAATTTATTCCAATCGAAGAACTTTTACAAATCCAATCTATTCACTGATAAGCAGCAAAATAGACGCATTAAAGAGGTAATCAGCCTATTCAACTACAGAGGAAAGCGAAGGATACAACCCCTGGTTACTTAACCGATTTTTGAACATTTCACATTATCAGAAAATATTAACGCACAGGACACGGGGAGCAACACACTAGAGATCTAGAGAAGAGAAAATTCATAAAAAACCAACTAAAACATCAGTTCACCATCGATCCTAGTTTAACTTTCAACACAGAACAAAATGATAACCAAATTGAACAGAGCTGATACTAACGACTGTATGACAAGCGGTAAGGAAATAAACAATGACAATGAACGTTAATTACAGCTAAAAAAAGAAAACGAAGAAACCTTATAAACTGAACAAACGTAACACTCCACACTTAATCAACTGATAGAACCTAATGATTTAAACAAGAAAATCGAGAAAACGGAAGGGTCCAGTGAGTTTTGGGGATTCTACAGGAGCTGGTTCGGTGAGATTTCACCAACAGCTCTGGTAGTCTCCCCTTCCTCTTCTTTGGATCTAAATCAACCCTCAGCAGCCTAATAAAGCAGAGCAATCAAAGCACTAAACAGAGTAAAAAAAAAGGGAGAGAAAAGAAGAACTAAAGAACGAACGAAGTATGAGTATACCTTCTATATTTCGGCCTGAACTTAATCGATGTACAGGGGAGATTTGAGCTTGTCGCAACTCTGGGTGTCTAAATGAAAATGACGAAATGGATCTCGTCTGGGATGGTTGGCGGGAGCAATACGAGCTTCTCAGTTCCTATTTCGCCGAGAGGGACGTCGCACCTAGGTCAGTGTCAATGGCAGTGTGGCGCGTCGCTGCTGTTGCATCTCAGTTTCGCCAGCAAAAGTGGAAAGCGGAAGGGCAAGGTTCAGAGAGGGAGATGGGAAAAGAAAGAGGGAGGGGGAGGAAGCAATAACGGTTAGAGGATGAGAGGGAATGGGGGGAAGTTCTCGTAAACGCCGCTGCCTCTGTTCTCATCTAGAGGTTGATGATGATGATTGATGAACAGTAACCCCTCTTCTCAGATAATATCGAGTTCAAATCTGCCCCCCACCGCCTGGCGCCCCAAAAACGTCTCACACAATGGGAGACCGCCAGCTGTCCTCCCACACACACACTCTCCCCTCGGCGCATGCAGAGTTAACGGAACGGCCGTTATTTCTGAACCAGCGCCCAAAACCAAACTCTCGACCTGGACCTGTGCAACCTTGCACTCCTCCGATCCGATCGTCTCCAGTGCCGATGACCATTGCGGCAGAAACACCGAAGGTATGAATCCGTCCCTCTCATCTCATCTCTCTTATAATTTACTTTTTTTTCGATTCAAAACAAAGGAGAGGTTTCACCCACCACCGACCATCTCCAGCAACAGTATATAGGTGTGCGGTTTTTGTTCCCTTCCATCTACTCTATTTTTTTTTTACATTTGCATTTTCCCCAAACTGTTACACTGATATATGTTGCCGATTTTTTTCTTCTTACTCATCATATAAAACATGAAAATGGTAGCTTTCATTGCCTTAACTTTTTTATTAATAAAGAAGACATGATATTTTCACTCTTTAGAGTTGAGAATCCAAAGTCCAAAGATTTGCGTTAAACTGAAGGTTGGTTTTGGCATCCTTGTTGTACTTAGCGACGGTAAACTGCCAGATCTCTTGGACATTTGGGTCATTCACATCTTGAATTGGTTCCCAGTCGCCGAGTAGCATGGCGGAAACTCCGTTGTCGAAGAGAAAGAAGGAAACCAAGAGGGGAATCAGGAAGAGAAGAAGAGACTGGATTTTCATTCTCTGCTTTATGGGTTGGGGAAATACATAGAACAGGTTGGGGGAATGCAAATAAAAAAGCTGAGGATGAAGAGGAAAAAACGCACCTGTATAATGGTCGGGTGGTCGCAGGTGATCCTTCTTCCTGTGTTTTGTATTGAAAAAAATAAATTAAAAAATAAAGGATGTGAGAGGGAGATGAGACGAAAGGATGTGAGAGGGTGAGAGGGAGACGAGTTCGTACCTACGGTGTATCTGCCGGAACGGTCATCGACACTGGAGACGATAGGACCGGAGGAGTGCAAGGTTGCACAGGTCCAGGTCGAGAGTTTGGTTTTGGGCGCTGATTGGGAACTAACGGCCGTTCCGTTAACTCCACACGCGCTGAGGGGAGAGTGTGTGGGAGGACAGCTGGCGGCCTCCCATTGTGTGAGACGTTGTTGGGGCGCAAGGAAGTGGGGGGCAGATTTGAACTCGACAAAATCTGAAGTAGCGGAGGGGCCCACGTTGCAGTGGCTTGCAAAAGCTAAAGAAAAAATAAATTTGACAAGGTAGGTAAAAAGATTTATTTAAAATAAGTAGAAATTTTTGGATAATAATATATTTAATTAAATAAAATAAAACAAAATAATAAATAAATAAAATTTTCAATTTTAAAGTCAATTTAATATAAATAAATCAACTTTGTCGTTAAATAAAGAATACAAATATTTTTTTTTCAATTTCCTAACTAGGCTTTGGATTTTATACGAGGGTCGAGCTTGGGCTCAAGATAGGGCCATCATATGTTCCATTGATATAAAGGCAAAGCTTAGTGTGGCTTATGAATAGATTTAATCTCAACCCTAGGGCGAAGACAGGGGGACCCCAATGAGCCATGGCCCCCCTCCGGTCCAACAAATCCTCACTCCTCATGTATATTTTCCCACTCTTCCACTCTCCCCCCCCCCCCAAATGGCCATCCATATTTATCCCCCTACCCCCCAATCCACTTAGATTTTGGCACCCCCTCAACTCCTTTCCAATAGCTCTGCCCTTGCCCCAATACAGACTTAACCTATTAATAGCCCTAAATTGAGAGAAAGAGAAATAATTTATCAATAAAATAAATTATTAACTAATTGAATAATTTAGTAAATTAAATAAATAAAAATTTATGGATAATAATTTACTTAATTTTGTAAAATAAATTAATCAAATATTTATTGTAATAAAATAAATAAGAAACTATTCATTTTTTATTGGGACATGACTGGTCCAAGTTATCTAGAACCAAATCCGACCTATTGACAACCCTAAATATTGGGTGCATGTTGAATTAAATAAATAAAATTTATGGATAATAATATACTTAATTTAATAAAATAAAATAATAATTAAATAATTAAATTTTTCACTTTTGAAGTCAAATTAATATAAATAAATCATTTTTGTTGTTAAATAAAGAATACAAATCTTTTTTCTCAATTTCTTGGTCGAGCTACGGGCTTTATATGGGGTCAAGCTTGGGCTCAAGATCTAGGCCCGATGGTTCGATCATGCTCAAACTTGGACTTGAATATATGTTCGATTGATATACAGGCAAAGGTCACATCCCAACATGACCTGTGAATAGATTTAATCCCAACCCAGGGGTGGAGCTAAGGGGACCTAGGAAGCCATTGCCCACATTCCAATTACAAATTGGAATGTTTGTCTTATATGTGGTAATCACGTAATTTTCGAAGAACATAGAGGCAATTACAAGTCAATCACATAAGGGGGTTTGTCTTTATGTGGCATTCTTGTAATTTCTAAGGAAAAAAAGCAAAAGTTACTGATAGATTTCATTTCTTGCATCCTCACGCTTTCCTTTGTACACATTTCATCTTAATATATTTATATAGATATAAATAGCCCATGAGATTATGCACCAAAGCCAAGGGTGGGTATATGGCAATCAAGTTAGACATGAGTAGGGCCTATGATAGGGTGGAATGGGTGTTTCTAAAATCCACTATGGAAAAAATGGGTTTTGGTAGTAAATGGGTCTCTTGGGTTATGACCTGTATGTCAATTGTGTCATATGATATCAAGTCTTGGTAAATGGCTCCCCCTCAAGAAGAAATTTTCCTCAAAGAGTTTAAGGCAAAGTGATCCCATATCACCTTACCTCTTTTTGCTTTGCTCTGATGTCCTATCAGCCATCTTAAGCAAAAGAAAAAAAAAGGCTAGAAAGTATTGAGGATAACCTTACTACCATGTCATCAGGAGCTGCCATGTCATCAGATAGATCTCCATCTACAGATAGATCTCCCTCTACAGATGTAACTCTATCCAGATTGAGATAGAACTCAACTAACTAGATAGACCCTATCAGATAGAGTTTAAATCTATGATAAACTCTATTTGATAGAGTTCAAAATTATCTGATTCTCTCCATCTATTGTTGTACCCAAACTGTACTTCTTAATCTATAAATACACAAGGTTCGAATGGTTCATTAATTTTCATTGAACCATTTTCCATATATTTGGTCTTTCTATTTTCTTTCTTTAACTTGGTATCGGAGTTAGTTCTCATTGCTTCTTTCAATAGCTCAACAGGAGGAGAGATCAACAACTTAGGGTCGTTGACACCACCATCTGCAACAGGCACGCCAGGTTCAATTCCAAATGTCTCTCACTATCTCCCTATCAAGTTGAATAGCGACAACTACCTGCTATGGTGAGCACAGCTTCTTCCCATTCTCCGTACTCACAAACTCATGGGTAACATAGAAGGGAAGACTCTTGCTCCTCTTAAAGAAATTGATGATCCTGAGGATCCATTAAGGAAGACTATCAATCCAGCATTCGATCACTGGTATCAACTGGATCAACTAGTACTCAGTTGGGTTGTTTCTTCACTTACTGAGGGTATCCTAGCTCAGGTCGTAGGTATGTCCTCATCCTCTGAAGTTTGGAATGCGTTGGAGTCCTTTGCTTCCCACTCACGTTCCAAAGTCTTGCAATTGAAGAGACAACTCTAGAGTATCAAGAAATGTACTCTTTCTATTTTTGAATACATACAGAAGGCCAAAAGTATTGCTGACAACCTTTATGTTGTTTTTGAACCTATCTCTCGACAAGATCTTGTTATGTGTATTTTGAGCAGACTTGGATTTGAATATGAGTCCATTATTATTGCTATTGCTAATAGACCTGATTTGATAGACTGAGGATTGCTGATGTTGTTGGTCAATTAATCATGAGTCTTGGCTCAAAGAAAATAGAGGCGGTCGTGGGAACCAAAATGATGGTTTCAAAAGAGGTCGTGGACCTAGCAATATTGTCTGTCAGTTGTGCAACATTCCTGGCCATGGTGTTTGGAAGTGTAGACGCAGGTTTGATATCTCCTATCTTGGTCTAGATCGACAACCTACTTAAAATCCCACACCATATCCAACTGCTGCTTTTCACACTGGTTCTTCATCACAGTTTGATCCGGCCTGGTATTCGGACTCTGGAGCCACGCACCACATCACATCCGATCTGGACAATTTGTAGATTTGATCAGACTATGGAGGGTCTGACCAGGTGAAAGTTGGTAATGGTGCAGGTTTGGAAATTAAGAATATTGGTTCTTTTGTCATTTCTCATGATAAAAATAAATTTTTATCATGATATTTATCATGTTCCCTCTATTACAAAGAACCTATTTTCTGCCAGCAAATTTATCAAAGATAACAATGTTGTCTTTGAATTTCATCATTTGTATTTTCTCTTGAAGGATCATATGGGGAGAGTTCTACTCTGCGGGCCTAATAAAGGTGAACTCTATCAGTTTCCCACTTTAGCATCCATTCCTTCATCTTCCGATAGTACTGCATTTTTTGGTGAGAAAGCATCAGTTCGAATTTGGCATCATTGACTTAGGCATGCTTCAATTAAAGCAGTTCGACAAGTGTTGTCTCAATTCGGTCTTCCTTATCATGGTTTGTTTGATATTTCAGTTTGTCATGCTTGTCAGTTAGGAAAAAGTCATCGTCTACCCCTCCCTAGTTCATTATCGTCTTACATTAGTCCTTTAAAACTTATTTATTCAGATGTATGGGGACCAGCCCAGTTGAGTCAAATGATGGTTTTAAATATTATGTGTTATTTGTTGATGCTTTTTCTAAATTTTCTTGGATTTTTCCTTTACGCCGTAAATCTGATGTGTTTGAGAGGAGGGGAATACCAGAGACTTTCACAATACCTTGACTCTCAAGGCATCGGACACCGTCTTGCTTGTCCGCACACTCATGAGCAAAATGGCACGATTGAAAGGAAGCACTGCCATGTGATAGAGTCCACCCTCGCCTTACTGGCCACCGGCTCTTCCCCCAGAATTTTTGGTCTGATGCAGCCGAAACTGCAGTTTTTTTAATCAACCACGTTCCTTTTCAGACTCTTCAAGGCAAGACACCATATGAACTTTTATTTCAACGCACACCAGATTATTCTCTGCTTCGCACCTTTGGTTATGCATGTTATCCGTTTCTTCGTCCGTACAACAAACATAAAATGGATTTTTGTTCTTCCCTCTGACTCAATCAAATAATATACAATAACTATCAAAACAAACCAAATGTAGATACAAGCAGTCATGTAGATACATTTGACAACTAACAAGGGTCCATTTGATTGACAACCAGTCAACATGAAATTGGAATCAAAACTAAAATCCCCTAGAGTCATAGTTGGGATAATTTACTAAAGGTGATCATGGTTTGAGCCATGAATTTTGATGAATACCAATTAATTGGTTATAAGTTTTTTAGATATCGTGCCCTTTTGGTAACATAATCAGATTTGCATCCATATACAAGGTTCAAAGTATTGATACACCCAAATACAGCAGAAGGAGTGTATCATTATTTTGAACCCCACTCTTTTTTGTAGTTTTTTTTCAAAACCTTTTCAGAGGGGTTGGTTGAAGGCATACCTACCCCTTCAAATGGGGTTTGACCCCAAAACATGTGTATTTCGCATATAAATAGGCCACCTATACGATATCAAAATTTTGAACCTTGTCCATATCTTTCTGACATATTCATGTAAATGTGCATCTGATGATGCCACAAGGTTCAAAGTATTGTTATGTGTCGGCTCGTATCAACCAATACATATCGTTCTGGGACCCTTCCAATACACCCCTACAATGGGTGTATCGGGGGTCTGATCGGTTCAGGGGATGGAGGGGTACTAGACCAATTTTGAAATAAAAATAAAATAAAATAAAAAGTATCAAAACGCCTGATACGCCCCTACCGGCATATCGAGTGTATCAATATTTTGAACCTTGGCCACAAGTAGCAACGAGGTTAAAGTTGAAAAGTGTAAGAAAGTAACATGAGGGCTTGAGCTCTTGGTAACGCCTTTGCACGTCAGTGTCATTAAGGGAGGGGTCATCGGCTCAATCGAGGTCATAATGCTAGTTATCAATGCTCCACACTAAGTTAAGGAAATGACAAGGGTGCCCCTTGGGGTCAACGTGATGACGATGATGCCCCCGTGGGTGTGCCATGTATCTTCATATGGTTGTAAGGATGATTTTGGCTACATCACAGTCTTGAGCTCGACTTCAAACGTTCAAAGTAGAGTCAATTGGGTGTGTTCACTGTGGCAATTCAAGGCTCGTGGGAGTATCTAGATTGGAGAGAGGTGATGGATCAAGATCATCTGATTTTTTATCATTACAGTTTTCAAGGTGCACGCCACGTAGTCCTCATCTATGTAGAAAACTGAAGAGACACAATAACGACCGTTGGATGGAGAAGATCATAGTCATTGAAGTTTTTTATAAAAGGAGAAGCTGAAGGACTAGAGGCCTGACATTCGTTACTTGAATTGTTGCTTGAGAACTCTCAAACCATCTCGGCCTATGTTTCTACATTTGTCCTTTGAGGTCTTCGTCATCTCTATCATCCTTGTCTTCCTTTCATACTTGTTGATAAGTTTTCATCTTCCGATTCAAGTAGAAAGGTTTATAATCTCCCTTAGTGGCCAACACCTAATGAGACCTTTTTTTCTTCTAGTGAATCTGAATCGAACTCGAAGGGCTCTACTCGACCTCCAAAGGTGGACGTCTTATAGAGGAGAGTTACGACTCATGGGGCTGAGTGCAATATACTGATGTAGTAGCTAGGCAGCTAGCTTATCTTTGGAGTAGAGCGTGAATTCGCTATACCAAAGGCTAAGCAGGGCAAAGTCTCTAGCCATGTCCCTTCAGAAGTTCCTGATGAGGTTTTCCCAAGGCGAGGGGGAGAGAAAGGTGGCGGCTAAGGCCAAGGGCAATAAGGAGGTCGATGCTGAGGAAGTTGTATCAGAGTTAAAAAGTGTACTCGATCATTCAAATGTAGAAAGGCTAAGCCGCAAATATCATATTCCCAACCACTTTACTATTAGGGTCCCCAAGGTTGGTGAAAAGCCCTGGTCAATCGATAAGGGTAAGATTTGTGTTCATGAGCACTACTTGCGGTTCATGTTTTGTTTTCATATGTATAATGTATCCTATCGTGCTTGATGAGGTTTTTAAATGTATTCTTCACAAGTTTAGGATTATACTTTGCGAAGTACTAATGGTATTTCAATGGGGCTATTCAAGCAGCAACAATAGATCTGATACCACAGCAAAGAATTGGAAGCAATTGATAAACATTTAGAGATTAGTTTTCATGTTTAATTTCATCAAACCCACAAGGAAACTTTAAAAAGAAATGGAAAAGAAAATAAATCTAAGACCCAAAATTTCTCTAATAAATTACTGACTGAGGGTTTCGATATAATTAGAGAATATCAGAAATAACCAGTTTAAGGAATCCTCATGGACGGCCCTTGGATAACATAACATTAGTTGCATTTGATGTAAGCAACCAGAGTCATATATGTTCTTTCTCAAACAACTTGAACCTTAGGAAGGATTTCCCTTGGGCGATGGAAGCTCTCTTTCATTTCTGATGACAAGATGTCCATAATTCACCCACAGGCCTATGAAGAAATCACTTGAATATAAGGGCATCACGACCAGGTCCAACCCCAATATAGTGAATAGGTATACCAACAAGTTCTTCTATCCTTTCCACGTACTGGCGGGCAGCCAATGGAAGGTCTTCATAGTTTCTGATGGAAGAAATATCACATTGCCATCCGGGTAAAACTTCATATTCAACCTGAACAGAAATTGGATACAAACACATTAACAAAGTATTAGGATATCTTGTTCTGAAAGCTTGGGGTGAATCATATCTAATAAAAGTAATGAAAAGCATATTTTAATTAGAATTAGATAAAAATACTTGCCTTTAACTGCTCAAGAACATGAAGGTCTGCAGGGAACGACTTGACTGGTGTGCCATCAATTTGTTTGTAGGAAACTCCCAGCCTAATTTCTGGAAGATCAGACAGGACGTCAAGCTTAGTGAGATTGAGGGAGGAGAAACCATTGATCAGACAGCAATATTTCAGTGCAACCACATCAAGCCAGCCACAACGTCGAGGACGACCAGTAGTTGTTCCAAACTCCTTCCCTGCAAGCCTGAGGAGGTCTCCACCTTTCCCTAAGATCTCTGTTGGGAAAGGACCTGAACCAACTCTTGTAGTGTAAGCTTTTACCTGCATGTGATTTTTTCCCCAAAACAAAAAATGGTAAATAGCTGTCTGAGACGTTTGCATTTTACAATTTACAAAGAACATAAAAGAAAAGTCCACTCACCACACCAACCAGATCACCAAGGACTTTAGGAGCAATGCCAAGCCCTGTGCATATCCCACCTGCTGATGGACTGGACGAAGTCACAAATGGATAGGTTCCAAAGTCGATATCCAACATGGTCGCTTGACCACCTTCAACCAATATTTTCTCCTTTTTTGAGAGGGATTCATTGACAACATGAACGGTATCAGCAATAAAGGGCTCCAACCGCTCGGCAAACCTCTTGTACCGTTCAACTTCTTCTCTGAGCACGTCAGGACCATAGTTAAACCCTTTGAATCGTGAAGCAGCATCTGATAATAACAGATCAAGCTTCTGGGGAAAAGTATCCATATGCCTCAGGTCACTTACTCTTATACCATTTCGTATCATCTTGCTTGAGTAACAAGGCCCAATTCCTCTCTTGGTTGTCCCAATGAAGGAATTAGCTAGTTCAGATTCTCTAAGCCCATCAACCACCTGATGGAAGTCAAATAACAAGTGTGCACGATCAGATACCAATATCCTTCCCTTACAAGAGATACCATTAGACTCGAGACCATCAATTTCTTTAAACAAGCCTGGAAGATGCACCACAACTCCATTCCCAATAATACACAGGGTTTCCTCATTCAGGATTCCAGATGGAACAAGGTGAAGAGCAAATTTCTTGCCCTCAGAATTATAAATGGTGTGTCCAGCATTTGCTCCACCCTGACATCAATAAACAAGGTCTTAGACTAAATCATTTAACTTTAAATTGAATAGAACTGATTATCCACCATAAGTGAAAGCTTATACACTAGCTTTCTGGTATCAATACAAAACAATTTTATTAGAGAATATATAATTATCAACCCCCAAGGAAAGGGGAAGACCAATAATAAAAAATAAAAAACATCAATAGAGGTGTGGAGAAGGAGCTGCTGCTGGTGCAGCTGGAAAGAAATTATTTTTGGTCAAGAGCTTATAAGGACTTGTCAAATCAAGCTCATATTGTAATATTATAAACCAGAATTATGATAATTAAATTTTGAGGATAAATAACATGTTTCCCTTATTTGTCATTGAACACTGCCTAATATAAAAAATGCAGCAGAACTGAATGAGTTTATACCATCTAATAGTTGAGCAGAAAAAATTATACTATCTGATTGGAACGTTCTCCAGGAAGTGCTTTCGTACTTTAAAAGCATTTTTTTCACCTTCCAAATAAATTTAGCTAAAGCAGATGGCTATAAACCAGGCAGACTATTTTGGCACAATTAATCTCCCATATGTGAAATGTGATGCATCAAGTTGCAGGTCATATTATTGATGTTACGGTTTCACAAACTCATATACCACGCTTCTGTCAACAGACCCAACATTTAGCCATCACGATAAGATCAGTTCACTACACAAACTGCCAGTCTTATTTGAAGCCTGGAGCTTGAAAGGTCTACCTTTTGGTCATTTTTGTCACTTTAGTGGAAAGATCTATTTATTCCTCTTTACCTTGTCTAATTCAATTTTTTAAAGGAATAGTAATGTATTTCATTCAGAAAAGCACACATGAATACAATAGTGCTATGAAACTATACCTCCAAGCTATCCCCTAGCAGGTCTAGATGCAATGGCTTTGTAAGCCAACCAGGTCAGTAAAGTTGTCACTTGTCAGCCAATTTACTTCAAGAATGGTTGAGAATAGCCTAATAACCTGGACATCTGGTTTGTAGCATTAGACTTAATTATCACCCTGACTACATCATTGACAAATATTGTTGTCAGCGTCCAACATTTTTTTTGATCGTCAGTCTCCTACATTTGATCCCCCACATGAAATAAAATTTATTTTATCAGAAAGCTCTGCAAGAAAACTCATCCAGAAAACAAGAATCATGGATGTCAAACATATTACCACTAGCCTAAAGATAGTAAAACCATGCTTCTGAGAAAACAAGAATATCATTCACATTTATTCAGCATTCAAGTTATAATATTTCTACAACGCAACAGAAAATTGTTGACTACAAATTAATTTTGACAAACAAGTGCAACCAAGGAAAAGGTCTAGGAGAGGGAAAGTCATCAAGTTACTTCCAAACTCATCCACTTCTAATTAGGCCTAAACCCGGGCCTTTATTTGTGCCTATAGGTGGATCTTAAGTTGAGCCTTCAGGCATTAGTTGCATGATGCTATAAGCCCATAACCTGGTAACCCATGTATCTGTTCCAGCAGCCCATATTTATGGGGCACCCAAAAAGATATTAATGTGGGTCACACGGATTCTATCTCTTCTGAAGATATTTAATGTAGGCAAGGTTTTAAAATTTGTAATTATATCAAAAATTGTAGAAAAAGTTGAATTGAATCAAACCATGGATCATATCATAAATGATGAGATATAAAGAAAAGTGATTTTATCCTATTATTAATCCTTATCTAACATATGTGCACTGAAAACATGTATGGAAGATCAGAATCCTATTTTCAATCCTTATCTATCACTCGTACATTAGAAACCTAAGATGATATAATCAAGTCTGCCTTAGAAGTCAACTAATCCACATACACTTTAACCTTCATATGATGGAAAGTAAACTCAATATAATTTCTAAAAGGTCTTAAATAACCTAAATAAAACATTTTTAGCATGAAATCTAAAACAAGAATCTCTTGAAAAAATTTAAAGAAATAACAAAGTAGACATCTAGGTCCTAATTGAATTGATTTGAAACACATTAATCATATAAATTTTGACATCCATGAATCAAATCATAGGATCAACCACTAACTGTAATTCAAATCAAAACACTTGGGTTTCATGACTGAATATTTTTTTTTTGAAAAGTAAAAATAAATAAAATAAAAAGCAGATTACAATCCAAACAGGGATGTTAAGATAACACCTGATCCCTTCCCTTTTACTCTTTTAAAATGCTTCAAAAACTCTTCTAGCAAACTCTTCACCTCCCAAAAAGAATAGCCATAAACTCTTGCCAATTCTAACCTCCCTGTCCATCAGGCTCTTAATCTCCACTTTATCCCCCTCCTTATAATCAGCTTGTTGAGACAAAGTGAGACTACTCTCACCAGTTTGACCTCCCTCATTATCCCCTGACCCTGGTCTAACCTCCAGACCTTCCTTTGTTGGGGTCAACATTATCTCCCCTACTACAACTTGAAGCTTCTCCCCCCTCCTTTCATCACTCTTCTTCGATTCTAAAACGTTTAATCTCTTCCTGTTTGTATACTCTCTTATAAGGAACTGCCCCAATCAATCCGTCTTTTAGCCTTGAGAAAACCTTTGACACATGGACAAAATGCAACTCGCCACATGGACAATTATGAATGTAGTGAGTTCTCTTTTTGATTTACTTTATCTACTTGATTTCTTTAATGTTTAAACAAGAAAAATATCATTCTTGCAGAAACTATCTTACATAAGAAGTTAGAAAGATTTTTCCTAGTGGATTATTTGATGATAAGGATTTCAAGAAGCTTCTTCCAGTCCAGAGTTACTTGGAACTTTACTTCAAAACTGATATAAAAGGGAGAAGATCAACTGGAGTTTAGTGTTATCTAAGAATCAATTAGTCATCAACTAGTTAACTGACTAGTCAATTGAGGGTATACCTACCACCACCAATTAACCAGTTAAATATTCACGATGTGGTGGCTTGGGTAAACTACTCATAGCTACTACAACTAATCAACCTAGTCAACCATAAAGCAATACTAAAGCTTTACTTGTTTCTGCTTTTCCCTGATTATTTGAAATAGTATTATATATACTTTTATTTTATTATACACATGCTAGTTGCTTTAAGAATTTGTGATCATATATGGTTGGGTGATGCCGTGATGGTATGAAAATTTATTACTAGATAATGCCACTACTTGCCCTGGCTTCAAGTCCAGGCCATAAAAGTGAAAGGTCATTACCCAATGTTAGTCCCAGCTATTCTAGGGACTTGGGAGGGGTAGACTGGATATGATCCTAAACATTGGCATTTTTTCACACAAAGTGGCCACTCTCAGACTTGAACTTGCATTCTCACACTTGCCAGCCCAGGATTTTAGTAGTATCATATCATCTTAATGCTTGCAAAGGGTGGCTGTCCAAATATTTTAAATCTTTAAATCTAATCACCAAGTTAAGACATTTAAAGAAGTACATTAAAAAAATTGAAATCTTAATGTTTTTTGCCTTTTTATAATAAAAAATAATTTTATTAAAGGAAAAAAGAGAATACAAAAGAAAGGGGAAAGCACCAGCCACAAGAAAGAGGAGAAAAACCTAAGTAACAACCAACAACAATACTCTTACCAAAACAAGCTACAAAAGCCTCCCTCAAACACCAGCTACCAAACACCCCATCCCCCTGAATCTAAGGTGCCATTTGGCAAGTCTTTTTACGAAGATCTTCCAACAGCCTAGATAGCCAAAAGATGTAATGAGCTTTTTTTTTCTTTTTTGATGAATGAAGATGTAATGAGCTTTTTGGATCGTGTCTTTAAAGACCTACACTGTTTGGTAAGTATCCTAGTCTACAATGATCCACAGAGCTGTTAAATGAAAGATTGAAGCTTCCAGATTTTTTGCCATTTTGGGCTTCCATGAGCATTTTAGGGCATAGGTCTTTCTGGCTTTGTCTTTCATTGCCAAACAGAGAGAGACTAAACTTTGAAAAGCCCAAAAGACCACACAAAAAGACTTAACACCTCCTAAATGTCTTTTTATCTTTTCACCCTTTTATCTTTACTTGCATTTGCATGGCACATGCCCTTACACTAGTAGAAATAAGGAAAATTATAAAAGAATAAAGTGGAGGAGTTCTTCAATCAGTGGTATGCCGATGCATTGTTTCTACAAACAAGGAGGGACACCAATTAATCAAGGAAGAAATGAAGTTGTAAGAAATTATTCAAGAACTCATAATTCAAGAATGGATATGGGCCCTATGACACTGAACAGAACGGAATGGCAGAACAGAATTCATGTAGACCCCATATATTTTGGACAAGGCTTAGATGATGATGACTCTTCTTTGAAAAACAAAGGCTGTAATTCCATATCCTAGCTTATCTAGCCTTTCTTTTCTATATTTGCTAAACAAATATTGTAAAGTATATGTTCTGTATCAATCTCTTAATCACTTATATATTTTGATAAATTTTATTTTATTTTTTTTATTAGCAACACAGAAAATCATTCATTCATTAATATTTTAAAAGAAAAGGATTACAACAAGTAGTTGTGGGAGACTAGCAAACCCATTACAAAACCAGCCACCAAATACTGTATTACAACTGTGCCCGGTACATATATTGTTTTTGAACCCCTTGCTTAGCTAAACCATTGCCAAGCTGTTAGCAGATCTTCTAACCCATCTTATTTGAATGTTCATGTCTTTTGACAACCATTTAAGCGCATGAATTCATTTCTAAGCTGCCAAACCACCCACTCACCTTTTTTCAACCATCCCACTACTATCCTTGAATCACCTTCAATGATCAAACTACCAATTCTCATCTCTTTAGCTTTCTCAACCCCAAAAACTGCTACTAAAAATTCTTCTCTTACCGAATCACCTTGTGCAATTGGGCATGAATACAAGGCACAAATAATACCACCCTCATCTCCAATCACCCCTCCAATTCCTGAGAGGCCCAGATTGCCCAAACTACTTCCATCAAAATTCAGTTTCATTTGACCACCCACTGGGGG